TGTCACCATGCCCTGATATTCTTCCATTATGACTAGCTTTTAAAATTATCTAAAAAAGAAGTACTACCTTAAATTAATTTTAATGTTTATAGAGTATGTAGAGATGTTCTCTCTTCTATACTTGGTTTTATATATATATCCCACTTAGTCTGGCTAGAGGTGTATCAGTTTTTGGTCTGTTCAAAGAACCAGAGCTTTTATTTTACTTAGTCTCCTCCAATAGTCTTCAGGATTTCTTTTTAAGAATGTTTCCTTAAGATTTATTGTATTTTTTAAGACAGTGTTGGTGGCACACACCTTTCATACAAGCACTCAGGAAGCAGAGGCAGACTATCTGTGAGTTGGAGTCCAGCCTGGTCTATAGAGCTAGTTCCAGGTCAGGCTTCAAAGCAATACAGAGAAACCCAAAACACAAAAAACAAAATAAAAAAGAAAAGATTCATTGTATTTTTAGTTATGTGTCTGTTTGTGTCCGAGTATATGTACTAGAGTGCTACTGCCCATAAATGACTGACGCATCAGATCCCCTGGGAGGTAGTTAAGAGGTAGTTAAGAGGCACCTTATGTGGGAGCTGGGAACCCAACTGAAATCCTGAACAAGCACATTAAATTGCTAAGCCATCTCTCCAGACCATCTCCTGTTCATAGCTTCATGGACTTCTATTTATCTTTGTTATTTCCCTTCTTTCTTCTTGCTTCAGGCTTAATGTATTTTTCACTTTCTATTTTATTAAAGAAAAACCTTTGATTCTTGGACATATATCCTAATTCCTTTTATAATAAATTCTATGACACGAATCACGTCACATCAATAATCTTGCAGCTCACTTTGATCCTTCAAAAACAATCTGAAAGAAACAGATTTTATTTAGCATAACTAGAAGAGGTAATAACCTGAAACTGGGCACTGATACTGGGAGGTTTCTTCTTCTTGTGCAAATGAAGAAGGGATTTGGTAATTCGATCCTGTAGGGTCAGTCTTGTCAAATGCTTCAAAGAATTTACTTCCAGCAAGTGCTAAAGAGAAGGGGGAAACATTATATATCAAACACACACACATGAATAAAATACAGTCATCCCGTTTTCATTATTTACAATTGTGAGAAATGTTTTATTCTATTAAAGGTAGTTAGTTTGACTAGGGCTCTCACCTTTCATCTATGTCAATTAGCCAATCAAATCAAGGTGTGAAGCCCAGCACCCATCAATGGTATAAAACACCACTTACATGAGGGATAAAAGATAATGCCATTTTGGCAAACTAGCTAGATTTGGGTTCTGGCATATCCTACTGTTCTTCATATAAACAAGTACTGGCATTAGGAGATTGGGCAATTTGGCTCCCTGTTGGATTCTCCTTTGATGCCCTGGTAGCCTTAAGCAAAAGAACAGTCAGTGCCACTACAGCACTGCAATGACATTTTGGCAAAGTCGGATAGTAATTGGAGCTGAATACTCCAACAACTCAAGGCATAGACTAGTGAAGACTGTTTCAAACAACTGTTTGCTATAGTAAATTACAATGAATTATAGATTAACCTGCAAGATTTAAACCTAATCCAGAGAAGGAGCACTTGTCCTAGAGGCACAGCAGTGAAATTGTTTTGGCTGGTGCAAGAAGTGGTGACTAATATATTCATAAACCTGTCTTTGTATGGGGGGTGTGCTGTGATTGGTACACAAAGTGCATCTTGGTTGGCCCAACATTGCTTCTCTTATTATACAGAAAGTTGCCTAGGTACTGTGAGACTCAATCTAATGTTGCCTCAACTAATGCTGAAATGCTGAACACAATAAAAGCCATCTCAAGTGGTCTTTCCTGCTGAGCTGTTATAAGAAGCAGCAGCATCAGAAACACCGTAACAGCATCTATCTCAGGTCCAACTGCAAAGGTAGTAAGGTAGCTAACTGCTTAATTGTTAAACAAATAAAGTTAAAGAGGTTGGCAAGCCAAGCAGGTTAGGGATTACTGTATCACAAAAAAATAAAACAAACAGACAAACAAAAAACAACAAAAAAACTTCTACATTATACTTTAAGAGGGTATACAGCAGAAACGGGCAACAAAAAATAGGACAGAGAGCTAATGATGAAGGATAAAGGCCTATAAGGAGTCAAAGATGTTGGCTACTGAGATGGCTAGAGAAATGTCAAACTTTTAGAGCCAAGGATCCCAGATACCCCAGGCTGCTGTAACATTGGCCTCTGCCTATGTTCAAGTATCTTCTGATTTGTTAGGCCCATGTACAGGCTCTAACATTTGCAGACCCCAATAACGGAGGCTTAGATGAAAGCTGTAACACTAAATGGTGCCACCTACTGCTGCTCCAATCTGCCTACCACCACTCACTGCTATCAAATACTAAAAATTACATAAGCACCAGAGTCCAGCACTTGAAGAGACTCCTTGCCTACCTACAATTTGTATTTGGCTAAAACAAAAGGACCCATCAGCTGGTGGGTAACACTTAGGACACAAAAAAAAAAGTGTTATGAAAAATGATCTTTCAGCTGGGTGGTGGTGGTGCTAAATAAGCTCTTATATATATATATATTGCCCTGGTAATGATGTCTTAGCAAAGTAACAGAAAAGGAACTAAGACAGGGCAATGCAAAATCATTACAAGAATATAGTGCAAAAGAAATCCAGGCAGTAGTAGTGCTGACTTTTAACCCCAGCACTCAAGAGGCAGAGGCCAACCTGGTCCACAAAGCCAGTTCCAGGACAGCTAGGACTGTTACATAAAGAAAGCCTGTCTCAAACAAACAAACAAATAAACAAAAAACAGTTCAAGACACAGGGGAGGGCCTAGACCCTACCCAAAATGACTTGACAGATTTTGATGATCCTTCATGGAAGGCCTCACCCTCCCTGGAGAGTTGATAGGGGATGGGATGGGGGGGGGGGTGATCTGTGGCAGGGAGAGAGAGGAAACTGGGATCCATATGTAAAATAAGAAAAATATTAAATAAAAATAATTTTTAAAAGGATATTAAAATGGAAATTATATGGTAAAATAAAGCCTAAGAGGAAAACCCCAAAAGCACTATTATTATAGTTATTATCTTGTAGATGGGTTAAAGTGTAACTCATCCAAGTAGTCCCATTTCAGGTGGACACTTCTCTGCATCAAATTAACCTGTTACCCTAAAAGAAACACATATCATCTCAGACCCGGATGTGTACAAACTAAATGCTAATAGTGTGGCACAAGGTTCTGAGAAAAGGGCTCTTAAAATGACAAAGATCTCAGAGAATTCTCATTTGCTCTCCAAAACCTAATTTAGGTATCTTCCTGTCTTAACCCATTCAGCACTGACACCTGACTACTACACTCTACTTTTGTGAGCCCAACTTTAAGATTCCATCTACATGTGAGATGTTGTACAACATGATTTCATCTGAAATTTTTTTCAGTAAACACAAGCATCTTCAAGTTCATTAATATGATTGCAACACAAAATTCCTTTTTAAAGATTGAGTAGAATTCCACTATGACTATAAACTTCTTATCCTTTATCCCATCCCTCAATTCACTGAGTAGGCACTTAGGTTATTTCTCTATCTTGGTATCTTGCCTATTTTAAACACTGATATTGTAACACTGATCTCAGCTTTTGTGGACATGTACCCAGAAGAATGACACATGGTATATGTGTTTTTACTTTTTCAAGGGGGAAAGGGTTCAAGGCAGGGTTTCTCTGTGTAACAACTCTAGCTGTCCTGGCTCTATAGGCCAGGCTGGCCTTGAACTCACAGAAATCTACCTGCCTCTGCTTCCCAAGTGCTGGGATTAAAAGCAAACACCACCAATGCCCAGCTATGTTTTTACTTTTTAAAAAGGAATATCCACACTATTCTCAAAAATATCTGTACTTATAATCTCCACTTTGCAGTGTCCTCCAACCCCACTCCCACAAATGCTAAGGGTTGAACCAAGAGTATCTTTCATGCTGGGCAAGTACTCTATCACTGACCTATATTCCCCAGTACAACTTTCATGTTTTCAGTAATTGTTCTAACTAGAGGAATGAACTGGTATCTCATTATGGCTTTATCTGTACTCCTCCAATGATCAGTGATGTTAAACATTTGGAAAATAAGTATCTGTAGGGAATTTGTATGTCTCCTTTGAAGAAATATCTGTCTGGGTCCTTTTTAACTGAATAACATTCCTATTACTTTTCTGTACATATTTTGGCTATTGACCCTAATTTAGACATATGATTATGATATAAAGAAGCTTTTTAGTTTTCTATAATACTATTTGTCTATTTTTGCTTGTCTCCTGTGTATTTGAAATATCTAAGAAATTGCTGCCCACACAAGTGCTATACAGCTCTTTTATTCAGTTGCAAGTGATGCATTTTATTCATTAATGTACACTTAATATTTTGTATCTGATGTGAAATTATAGTACAGTTTCATTTTTTTTATATTCTTTTTTACTAATATTTTTTATTTAAGTGACTGTTCTTTATCCAGTGTGTTCTTGGCACCTTTATCAAAAATCAATTGACCACAAATATGCAGGTTTTTCCCTGGGTTCATTATAATGTCCCATTATTGGCTGTGCCCTTTTTTTTTTTTTAATCTTCTGTTTTCTTTTTTTATTTCTAATATTTTATAGTGGGTGTGTATGTAAATGTTTGTACACATGTGATGGTCATGTGTGTTGGTCATCAACTTTCACATTGTTTGAAACAGTTCCTTGTTCCACTAATACATATGCCAGAAAATTCTGGTTCTAGGCTTCTTCTGTCTCTACTTCACATCTTGTTGTACAAACATTAAAGTTACAGATGCATGCTACTTACTACTTAGTCTTATGTGGGTGCTTAAGATTGAAACTCAGAGTCTCAGGCTTATGTAACAACTACTTTTCCTCTCTGAGTTACCTTTCAAGCCTGTTTCTTTTTTTTTTTTTTTTTTTTTGCATTTTTAAATTTTGTACTTCATAGGTTGTATTTTAAAAAAAGAAAAAGGGGGGGAGGGAGACTTCTTATAATCGGCACCAATCAGGTCCTTAATCCGCTTTCAAATCTTTCCCTACCAGCATCGCAGTCACAGGATGCATACAGGCTTTATGCTCTTGGTAGGTGCGGACGGCTTGATCATGAGATTTGTCAAAGGCGGCAAGATGCTTGAATAAAGGTCGAGTAAATTTCATCCTTCCTTGTTCAGTTGCCATTTTTAGAGCCAAAGGGATGGCTTCCTCCCATCTCAATTGAATACAGAGCCGTAACCATCTTCTGAAGCACTTGCGCCAGGAACTCATTCAACTGATGGGACGAGAGATCTCAGGTCCGAGATGCTGAACGAACTTAAGTCCTCCTCTTTGGCAGTGACCCATCGTTGACTTAAGGCGATGCAAGCATTTGTCAGAGTCATATCATAATTTGGTTTCACCAGAGGCAGGCCAGGAGAATAGAGCCAGGCATTCCAATCAACTTGATTGAGAAGATCCACCTTATCGTTAAAGTGGGAATACAGGAAATCCTTCCAGTCGTCAGTGGTTACGCTCTTGTAGGAAAATTCCTCAACATAAGCCTTTAAGAATCCCAGAAACACCTCTGGTCCACCAAGAAGTTGCTCAAGGTAGAAGAGTAAGGCAAACCCCTTCTCACATGGAATGGAGGAATAGGCTACATCGGAGTCTACATCCTTCAGGTCAACCACGAGCTTGGTGAAGGGGTGGGACTCCCCAAAAGATTTTATCGTATTCTGTAGTTCTCCCCATCCTCCCAAAGCATGGAAATGTCTGAACTTTTCCCCAAACAATCGTCCGCAAATGTGACGCTCCAAATAGACAGTATGTCCTTCGTTTAACCAAAAGTGATCCCAAGTTTTGTTAGTCACTAGGTTTCCTGTCCAGCTGTGAGATATTTCATGTTCGATAACATTGGAGAGTGCGATAACAAGGAGACTTGTCACCTGCCAGTAGAGTCGGAGTCACGAATGTAAGGCAAGGGTTCTCCATGCCGCCGTAAGGGAAGGATGGGGGCAGGACCAACAGGTCGTACTGCCCCCACACATAGGGCCCTCCCAGATCTTTTGCAATTTTAAGCATAGACTCGGTCTCAGAAAATTCATATGCAGATTTTTCCACCTGCTCCTTCTCGGACCACACCAGAGTTCTTGGACCAATTTGCCTGCTTTCCAAAGCTCCAACAACTAATGCAATCAGGTAGCACGGAATGGGAACCCTCTGGTTGAATCTGTATATCTTCCTGCTGGTGTCTTCTGGGTCAGGCCCTTCACCGTCGCGGATTGCACTCATGAGAGCTACCAGTTCTTTCGGGACAGACACCTCTGCGGTGTAGATTAGCTTCACAGATGGAGTGTCTTGGCACGGGAGGGCTGCTCTGCAGTGGATGGCCTGGCACTGACTGAAGAGGTACGGGTGCTGCTTCCCAGAAGTCTGTTCAGGAGTGAGCCACTGAAGAGCAGAGGATGTGGGAGAGGTCTCATAGGAAATTTCTACAACAACCTCTTGATTTTTGCTCAGCGCGATGGGAAGAGAGATTTCCATCGGTGACCCTTTGTAACCTTGTCTTTCTCCAAGAGTGTATTTGACTTCTTGTCCATTGATCACCACTTTTTCTATTGTAAGGTCTTTTGTATCCAAAGTCAGGCTGCGCAGATTATCCTCCTGAGACTGGACCGTGAGCGCGGCGGTCCCGGTCAGCACCCGGCGAGCCAAGTCCACGCTGCAGCGCAGATGGAGGTGCTGGGTTCGGCAGACTGAGGCCGGGGAGGCCAAGGAGCAAGTGTCGGCGACCTCGGGCATAGTTCTGGGAGATCCGTCGTCCGTCGGCCAGCACCCAGACGCTCCGCGGGCAGACCTGTCTCTTTCTTTTTTTAAAATGGCATTTAATGCTATTTTGATAACTACAACTCTTTAATAATACAGCACAACATATTAAGCTTCATACTTTTTGTTCAAGACTGCTTTAATTATTTGGGGAATTTTGTGAATTTATGTTACAATTATTTCTTTGACATCTACATAAAGTGACAATAGTAACTACATCCATATATAAATCTATCAGTCACATTAGGTGCTACAAATTATCTTAATAATAATTTTTCTACACCATGAACTGGAAAGCTCACTTTTCATTTATTGTGTTGTATTCAACTTGTCTCATCAATATTTTCTAATTTTCTGTGTGCAAATATCTGATATGTGACCCTACAGATTTAGAACCACTGGTCTAAAGGATCTCAAAAATTTGGAAGTCATTAACTCCCAGAGACGGGTAACTGAGAAGGCCTTCCTTGGGGAGGGTGAAGTAGAAGTGTGAGATTCAATGTACAAATAAACTCGTTCCAGGGACCAGACTTTGTCTCAAAAACAAGGAAGGGGAAGAGACCCAGAAGTGCAAACTCTGGGTTCTACAAACAGACTAGATCTGAGACCAATCCAGCACCCTCACATCTGTTCTTCAAAAAACTATTTTAGCAGCGTTGGTGGTGTACTTGTTTAATCCCAGCACTCAGGGGGCAAAGGCAGAGGCAGGCAGATCTCTGTGAGTTCAAGGCCAGCCTGATCTACACAGTGAGTTCCAGAACAGACTCCAAAGCAATACTGAGAAACTGTCTCTAAAAACAAATGTATACTTTTTTATATATAAATTTACATGAAATGTGAATCTCAGTGTTTATAAATGAAGTTTTTATCAGCATGTGGGCATATTTGTTCAGTTTCTTATTATCTAAAGTTTTATTTATGCTGAAACAGCAGACCTAAATACTTATAACAGACCACTGACCCACAAAGATTATTTAACTCTTTATAGAAACACTGTATAACATCAGTAATGAGAATTATATAATCACTAACCAGAAATGTTTTCAAAATTCACAGGTTCACTTTAACCTGGCTCAAAGAAAAATGAAAAGACCTTATGTAAAAGTGGCAATTACTAAACAGAACTTATATACCAGTTTTTAAAGATATTAGAGAATGGTATTTATCACAACTAATTATTTGCCTGAATGATTAGGATTGTCTGTTTCCTAACAGACTTTGTAAATTCTAAAATGGATTCAACTAAGAACATATAATCTATTTTGAACATGAATAAGGCATAAATAATAAAAAATACTCAATAGGGAACAATTAAAAGTTTTTTTCACAGTACTCACCTTTGGAAGGATGGGTTTTGATTTGAAGTTTTTGTTTCTTCTATAAAGAAAAAACATTCATTAGAAGAAAAAGAAACTAGAATACAAATGATTTTAAGAGCTCTCTCAGGCAGGATGGTGGTGGTACATGCCTTTAATCCCTGCACTCAGGAGACAGAGGCAGGCCTATCTCTGAGTTGGAGGCCAGCCTGGTCTATAAAACGAGTTCCAGGATAGGCTCCAACACTACACAGAGGAAACCCTGTCTTGAAAAACCTTTAAAAAAAAAAAACAAAAAAAAACCTCAGAGCAACAAAATACTTCATTTGAGGAATATGGGCACTGTCCATACAAAAATGCTATGTGACTGAATCAAGCATCTATCATTGGGGGGGGGGGGGGGAAAGAGTAAGCAAGGACAAGACAAGAAGGAAATACCAGCTTTGTAATTTGGGACTAAGCAGAGTTGGGCCTGAAGATTAATGATATGCTGCTGTACTTTCTAAGCTCTCAGTTTTGCTTTCTTGTATGTAGACAGGATTCTACTTTCCAATACCTACCAAGATTTACTTCTACCATTAAAAGATTTTTAAGATATGCCTAAACTTCATAAATGACTAAAAATACACATTTCATAAAACATAATCTTTCTGTTTAGAAATTAAATTTTTCTATTCATTTATCCTACTCATCAACAAAAGTTAACTTTCATTATGACTTCACAAAATGAACAAATACAGCTCAATGCTTAGAACATTGGCTGAGAAGTTAAAAGGCCTATTTTGAATCTACAGTTTTGCTCCTACCAATGTATAACTTCTCTAAACTTTAGTTTTACTATGTTTGTCTATAAAGTGATGATAGTTAAGAATACTTATTTATTAGCATTCTTGAGATAATTAAGTGAAGTTAATACACACTTCCAGAGTAGAGCAAGACTTGTATAAATTAATCCTATTGACACTATTAAGCAATTACTTCAATAGAGATTTGGGACTCCAATTCATACATACATCTAGTTTATGATACATGAAAAAAATAAATGCTTGGGAAATACCTGAAATACATTAAAGCTTTAGTGTAATGGAACAGCATACATAATTATCATTTCCACATCCAAACCAGTTCCTTCATTGGGTAATGAAAGGTGTATGACACAACACATGCTATCATTTAACATATGCATGAAATTTCCCTGTCCAAGTGCTAGATCTAAAGAATAATAATTATAACAATGACAGGGAATTCAAAAAAAGAGCTAAATTTCCTTTTCTCTAGAAAAATAACAATAATCATTTCCTGTAATTAATACATTTAACCTTTTTTGTTTTTTGCTAGTGAATAGGGAAAAATGAAACAGAAAGCAATCTTATCTATAATGCATTGGACTCACAGTTTTAAAACTAAGAAGATTTCAACCTTTTTCTATCAAAATTATACTCATGAAAATAATCTTTCATTATTTGCTCAGTAAGAAAATTTTAATAAAATACTCCTTTAAGAAGTCTATTACTAATCAATACTGACGTGAGAATTCCATGAGCTCTTTCCAGGAGTTTGCTGCTTGCTGGATTAGCAAATATCCCATCTTTATCCAACAAAGAAGTGTTGCTAGTTGGTAGTCTGCTTTGGCGAATGCCAGTTCTGACATTCCAGGCAATATCAAATGTATCACTGTGGAAAAAAAAATTAGTATGATTTGCTTAATTACTTTATTATTGTATTAATTTAAGACATATAACATTTTAGATATGGAACATTAAAATGTTTTAATGATAAACAGCAATAAAATGGTTTTATTAAATGATTACCAATCAAGTGGGACCTCTCTGTCACTCAGAAAAAATTTTAGTGGATTCTATACAAATGGAAGGTAGATGAAATACATCATATAACATATTGTTAAACATAAGTTATATATTTTAATACATAATAGAATCCATGATGCCTTCCTTCTTTTTTAGAACTTTCAAAAGCTCCCACTTGAATTTATAACACTAATAGGTCACATGGTTCTATAGGATATCTAGTTTCTTCCTCAGACATCTTATTCATAAACACATATGCTACTGACATCAACCAAAAATATTTAGCCCTTGCTACAGATTGAGCACTATTATCAGCACTAGAGTCAGAGGAATGAACATACAATTATTAGTGATTATAGCACAATATCTAATGAAGGACTTTCCAGGTAAAGATAGTAGATTTAAATCTCTTCAGAAGCCCATAAAAATACAAATAATATTTCAATGGAGTTAACACTTAAGAACAAAGAGAATAAGAATAATAGTGATGTATATCTTTGCAAAATAGGTGGTGCATTCTCAGGTTTTGACTGTTTTTTCTTTATGTGGATAAGGGGTAAAAGAGAAAGTCTGTAATTTGAAGAAAAGTATACATGGAAATTGAAGTACAGCAATATCCCAAATTATCATAAGATTGTTATTCATCTCATATTCCCTTATAAACATATACCAAACTTACTGTTGATTTTTTTCATTTAGAGTGTTCATGCCCTGAAGATCAGAAAGAGGTGTTCTTGGGTTTTTTCGAGTTATACCTAACCAAAAAAAAAAAGAAAAAAAAGAAAATTTCAAATCAGTGCACCTTCAAAATACTAAAGGAAAAAAATTCTAAAGACAAATGAAAATTAATAAACTTAGTTTTTAAACATTTGATAAATGTCAGTTACTAAGTAAAGTTTTATAACTATTGCAACATGATTAAATGAAACTTCATAGGAATTTCAATAGCAAATTTTTATTTATTTCATTTAAGCATTAACATTTGGAAATGTAAAAGTATTCAGGCTGATAACTAACTATATACAAACTTCACATATACTCAAAATACTTCTAACATGACCCCTCTGTATCATTTTTTGACAACAAATACACTGCTGATATGTAACATATAGTTTAGAAATCTATTGATCTTACATATAAAGACACTGAAGATCAAAGGATGTTTCCTTATGAATTACAAATATTTAAAAACAATTTTCTTATAGGCACCACAGATACAAGGTCATCAATTTTAAAATGTGTGTGTATATGTGTGTGTGTATATATATATATATATATATATATATATATACATACATACATATACATGTATCTATATATATGAGAACTAAGATACATGGGAAGAAATCATGCATCTTTACAGAAGATCTTTATGAAAAATGATAATCATACAGAGAAAATCCTAAAGAAGCTATAAAAATGTTAAAGCTAATTCAATTCAGCTAAAATACAGGAAACTGATATGCAGAAACCAACTCTATTTCTGTACAAATGCAATAAATGACCAAAAACTAGTAATTTCATTCATAAAATCAAAATAATATCAACTTAACAGAAAGAGTCAATGGCCACATCACTAAAAGAAATCAAGAGCCAAATCAATGGAATGATATCCATGCTTATGATTAGAAACTGTACTTTTAAGATACTAATGTTCTTCAAATTAATCTATATATTTATATATCCTAAGAAATCTTTACTTGTTTTATTTTTTTACCCCTCATGTATGCCTAAAAAAAATTAACGGATTTGATTCTTACATCAGCATGACTCACTTCAAGATAACTTAAATGACTTAAGAGTTCTCATATTTATATGAGAGATACAATGCTCAGCCTAGACACAGGGGTGTGAGGGGTGGAGAGGTGCCTTAGTCCTGTCTCAACAAGATGATGGGACAG